AGATCTAAAGCTTCTCAAGGTTGGGAGAAACTCTGATTCAGGATGACTACGTAGATAGCCCCATCATAGACAGGATGTTCAGTGAAAAACTTTCCAAGAGTTTCAGAGATTCAGAGGGTTTGGCTCTGAACTTCTGATTCAGGTTCATCTCTGACAGAAATAGGATAGGCAGCTTTGCATGCTAGGGAAAGCTGCTCCCTCTAATTTTTTATGTCCATGTGCCCTATTATGAGGTGATGTGTGACATCACTTCCATATTGGTGCACGTCACAAAATTCATTCTGTAGATGGACAGTGTGTGGCAGGGATGGGAGCTGAGGAGTTAAGAGTGTGGGAGAGGACTCAGGGCTGGAGCAGAGGGTTGGTATCGAGGAGTTAAAGGTACTGGCTCAGAGTACAAGTTCTGGCCTGGGGCCAGGCATGGATGATTTGGAGAGTGGGAGGAGGCTAGGGATAGGTGTGTGTGTGTGGCGAGGAGTGAGTGTTCCAGATGGGAATGCTCTCACTGCAGAAGTTCAGAGCCAGGTGAGAAGCGCCTCTCCATGGCTGCAACAGATCCAGCAATGCCTGTCTGGAGAGAGGCACCACTTCAGCTATGTCTAGACTATAGCCTTTTATCGGAAAAAGCTACACAAATTGTGCTCCGCAATTTGCGTAGCTTTTTCCAATTGCTTTTCCGGAAGAGATTTTTCTGCCATTTGGCCCCGTCTAGATAGGGCCAAATGGTGAAAAAGCCTCTTTCGGAGGAGCCCATATTCCTCATAGAACGAGGTATGCAGGGCTTCCCAAAAGAACGCATCTGCTCTTCTGCATAAAAAAGCGGAAAAGCAAACACATTCCCTGGATGCGGTGGGGTTCTTCTGGGATACCAAAAAACCCCTGCAGTCTAGACATGCCTTCCATGGCCTTGGTATGTTAAGGGTAGTCTGGGTTGGTGCCTCTCCCCCAGCCACAGCAGCTCCACACAGGGGCTGATGTGCAGTGGTTCCTCTCCTCACTGAAGCCCATAGCCCCTGCATGGGCCTTAATAGGGTGCTGCACAGCAACACAGTTTAGAGGAAACTTAGGAAAGAGGCCTGTATATCTTAGAGATGTGAAACAAACAAGGAAAGACAAGAGGTGAAACGCTGAAGACAGAAGAGGTAAAGAAATCACTTCATCAACTATCCAGTATATCATAATGGCAAGAAATAAACAAAACGAATGATGGAATCCCAGGTTTAGAAGGCACCACAAGGGTCATCTTGACTAAACACCTGCCAAAATGTGGAATGACACGACAAGAGAAATTATATTGCATATGAACAATTTTCTTAAACTAGCAAAAGGGCATAAAAATCGAACAGCAGTGGGTTATAAACTGGAAGGTCTTTAGTGAAATACTCTGTTCTGTATTTAAATTTGGAGGCACCAAGATGAAAAGGAAAAGTTTTCTTTCATGTGTTAACCTGGAAAGTTGGTGGGAAGAAATTAGGTAAAACTTACACTGTTCCATCCCATTTCTTCTACAAAGGCCAGCACAAAAGCAGCTATTGTTTCTGCAACAGTTATCACCATCAGAAACAAATGAATCTAAGTAAAAACAAATGACAGGTTACTGAAACTCATCCATAGCATATGTTAATATGTTTGTTGTTTTGCTGAAACAGTACAAATTATTCTATTTTTATCTTTGATTATCAGTTAACTCATGCCGCTTCACAAGTGTGTGTGTATTGTCCAAACAGAATTTCTTTCATTTTTTTAATGACACCACTAGAAAACATTGGTTAGTGTTTGCCAACTAACTTTTTTATAAATAGTTTGCAAAATGTCTATCTGCAGTCAATTAATTAACTCTTTTACTGTAAATATTTGAACTTTTAAAAAACTCTACCATACAGCAAGTCATATGATTAATCAGCAGAAATGGAATTCTCAAATTTATCAGCCTATCCCAAACTATCAAAATAGCTATAATTACCATACTTCTTATTAAACCAAAGGCTTATATATAGTTAATTAATAATTTCAGAGATTTATATAAAGCAAAAGGAGAGAATTTTGCCTCTGAGGAGGAAGTAAACATAGCAACACCCGTCCTCTTTCATCCCTTCTCTACCTATGGTACATCGATGACATCTTTATGATCTGGACGCATGGCCAAGAAACACTGGAGATATTCCACAGAGATTTCAACAACCTACACCCCACCATCAACCTCAGCCTGGACCATTCTACACGAGAGATCCACTTCCTGGACACCACCGTACAAATCAACAATGGAAAATTAGACACCACTCTCTACAGAAAACCCACCGACTCATACAGTTACCTACATGCATCCAGCTCCCATGTGTTAAAATTCGACACTTATCACCAAGGACTTAACAAGACTTTGAACTTTCTCACCCATTACCAAGACAGTTTCCCCAATTATCACCTGTAATACCATTAACTCACAAACATCCCACTCTCCCTACCTTTAATATCAGCAATTCACAGACACTTACCTTCCTTCCTCCCCCTTCCCACCCCCCCGCATCCCCCTTCTGTTCTGCAATGTGATTTGTCCTTTTCATATTTGTTCATTTTTTTAAATTGTATCCTTTGGTATATATGGTTGTGACTACTTTCTTCCACTATTTGATCTGAGGAAGTGGGTCTGGCCCACGAAAGCTCATCATCTAATAAACCATCTTGTTAGTCTTTAAAGTGCTACATTCTCCTTAGTCCAGGTTGCCTACTTACCTAATTTTCATAATCTAGTTGTTCACCATCAAATATTTTATTATCTCTCCCCTGTACTTGGACTCGGTGGACCATTACACTGCCAATAATTTCCTACATTCTAATCTGAAATAAACAGTCTGCTATAAATCATTAACACTAGAGCTAGTCAAAACTCAGGATTTGTGTTCCACAGGGAAAAATCCTAGAATTTTCTTTTCTCTCAAATTGTTAAAAACAAAAACCCCCACCCCACGATTCTCTGGAAAATTTTGTTCTAGAAATATTAATGTCCTTATCAGTGTTAGACATTGCATGTGGGGACAATAGTTCTGCTCAGGTCGGTTTAAGTATGCTGTTGACTCTGAGTCATAGGAAATGGCTGGAATGAAATATATTGATTCCAATTACTATCATTTTTTGGTGAAGTTGGACAAACGTAAAACTGCTGCCACTGTGAAGAAGCCATAGAAATCCAGGAATCATATTGCCCAGCAAACACTTGATCTTCTTGCCAAGCAGAGAGACATGGCAGCCAAGGGCAATACCAGCCTGGAGTATAAGTTCGTCTATAAAATGTTGAGAAAAAAGATGATAGATGATTATGAGCAGTATCGGCTTGCGAAAAAGCAAATGGCAGTTGAAGAGAAAACGAGTTTGCAAAGAACTCAATGTGAAATCCAGTTAAGCCAAACTCTTCGTATCTAATTTTAGTTACCAACAGCCCAGTGTTTTGTGCTCACTTATGACAAAGTCACTGGGAGCATTTGGATTGGTGCTTTTCCGGGTGAGTAAGAGTTATACAATCTATCCCCAAATTAGAACATTTTGCTTTAAGTAAGCTTGGTGAAATTGAAAACTGTAGACCTAGAAACCAAACTGATTTGTTCAGCTGGTGAGAAGAGGATTGTTAGCTGCTGGGAGACAGGGAGGGATGGAGTACAATTCAGATATTATGGTCCTCTTCATAAATTTCATATAGTCTCTGTCTCCACCTGGTGGTAGCACTATATAACAACAATATCCCTTGGTTAACATATCAGGTTCTGTGGCAAGTCAGTCTATTTAGCAAAAACATTAACTAATGAATATATAGTCTTCAAATTTATCATCTTCATCTCCCTGTTTGGACCACAACATACATATGTATTCCAAGCAATACACAGGACATCTTCAGGGTTTCAAGATGGGTATGTCAACTGCTTGAAAATAAAGCTATTTCTATTTGCACCATTTAAAAAAAAAAAAGGGGGGGGGGGCAAAATGTGGTTCCAAAATACAGTAATATCATGTAGAACAGGAGTGTAAAATTCATTGTACAAAGAAGGCTGAATTATATCAAACAGTGGTCCACAGCAAGAGCTCCCAAATTTAGGGTGATATAGTCACTTTGACCTATGCCAGATGACAACTGAGCTCTTTGGTGTGCAATTACTCAATTTCTATCATAAGCATGTTCAGTACATGTGCAAACTGGGTATGTGATGGCATGGTTACATCTGAAAACTATGACCCTTAAGTGCTATTGTTAAGCTTTAGAATCAATGTCATTTAGATAAAGAAGGAAGTTCGTGCCTGTCTTAGCTGCCATTTCTAGCTGACAAGGACAGAACTAGATTGTTCTGCTTTGGGAAGGTTATCTTCTCACCTGCACAGAGAATGGGCTGGGAATTTCAGAGACTCCTTTGAAAAATCCCAGAATATTAACTTATTTTTAATAAAAGCTTCCACTCTCAAGAATCTGAATCTACCATGAACATCAAATAGATACATTCAGTGGCCAAAAGTCAGATCAACATCCCTGGTATTAAGAGATTCTCCAGGATAACAGCTTCTTGTGAATTATGTCCAATGAATGCATCACTCTGAACACTCAGGCCAGCACAGTCACTGTGCATTAATTTTACTATGAAAAGGTCTATTGCACCACGGAGAATATTTTCAGCGAGACTTTCCATAGAGCTGTGTGACAATCTTTTGATAACAATACCCTTCACTGAATAGTAGTGAATAGCCATAACTTAGACACATGAAATACAACAAGAACTTATAAAAATTACAGCCAATAGCTGTGGTGTAACCACCAAATTAAGGCAATAAATTGAGATCTTGTTCTTAATTCCCATGGTTGTGACTAGGCATTACAAGTCAAGTGGTGTATACAATGACCCTCATTAATTTATTTAGCAATAGTGTGGAAATTCAAATAAAGTTTTAGTTAACAGTGATTATTTTACTTCTTAGACCCAAGTTTGTCACCATTGCAGGAAGGGGAGGAAAAGGTGGTTCTAAGCTACCCATTTATACTTTCTCTGACCTTGAGTACACAGGGGTGCAAAAATAGTTCCCTAGGAAAAATGCTCTAATTTATAGCCACAGAAACATCAACTAAGTTATATTCTGCCAGTGCACTGTAATCCAGCTCTACCCCTCAAACCATTGATATGCCTCTTCCTAACACTGGAATAAAACCCTACAAAAGGTTGACAGCAAGTGAGGTAAATTGGCATTCTTTACTTACAATAACAGAAGATAAGGTCTCTTCCAACCCTAAGGAAGTCATCTGCTCAAAGCAGGACTAACCCCACCTAAATGATCCTACTTAGGACTCTTTTGCAGCCTGGCCTTAAAAACCTCTAAGGAAGGAGATTCTACCACCTCCCTATGTGACTCATTCCAGTGGTTCACCACCCTTCTCCTGAAATAGTTTTTTCTAATAGTCAACTTAGACCTCCCCCACTGAAACTTGAGACCATTGCCCCTTGTTCTGTCATCGGCCACCACAGAGAACAGCTTTGCTCCATCCTCTTTGGAACCCTTGTTCAGGTAGTTGAAAGCTACTATCAAATTCCCCCCTCACTGTTCTCATCTTCAGTTAAATAAACCCAATTCCCTCAGCCTCTCCTCACAGATCACATATCCCAGCCCTCTGTTAGACATTTTCCAACTAGTCCACGCCCTTTCTGTAGTGGGAGGTCCAAATTGGATGCAATACTCCAGATGAGGCCTCACCAGTGCCAAATAAAAGGGAATAATCACTTCCCTCAAACTGCACGCAATGCTCCTACTAATGCAGCCCAATATGTCGTTAGCCTTCTTGGCAACAAGGGCACATGATGACTTATCCAGCTTCTCATCCATTGTAATCCCCAAGTCCTTTTCTGCAGAACTGCCGCTTACCCAGTCATCCCCAGCCTGTAGCAGTGCATAGGATTCTTCCTTTCTAAGTCCTTGTTGAACCTTATCAGATTTCTTTTGGCCTAGTCCTCCAAATTGTCTAGATCTCTCGGGACTCCATCCCTACTCTCTAGTGTATCTACCTCTCTTGCTAGATGAGTGTCATTCACAAACTGCTGAGGCAATCAGGTTGGTTAGGCGTGACTTGCCCTTGGTGAATCCATGTTGACTGTTCCTGATCACGTTCCTCTGCTCCAAATACTTCAAAATGGTTTCCTTGAGGACCTGCTCTATGATTTTTCAGGAGATTGAGATGAGGCTGACCAGCCTGTAGTTTTGGGGATTCTCCTTTTTAAAGCATGGGCCCTACATTTGCCTTTTTCCAATTGTCCAGGAGCACCCCAATAGCCAACGACTTTGCAAAGATAATGACCAATGGTTCTTCAATCACATCGGCCAACTCTCTCAGCATCTTTGGATGTATAAGATCTATCTCCTTTGGACTTGTGCATGTCCAGCTTTTCTAAATAGTTCTAAACTGTTCTCTCACCACTGGGGGCTGCTTACCTCCTCCCCATACTCTGCTACCCAGTGTAACAATTCTGGGAGCTGACATTGTCTGTGAAGACTGAGGCAAAAACAAACAAACAAAAAAAAACCCACCAAGCATTGAATTCTTCAGCTTTTTCCACATCATCAGTCAGTAGGGGTATGTCTAGACTACATGGCTCCGTCAACAGAGCCATGTAGATGAGTTTACTAGACATAGGAAAACGAAGCGGCGATTTAAATAATCGCTGCTTCATTTACATTAAAATGGCCGCCGCGCTGTGCCAATCAGTTGTTTGGCGGCACAGCAGGGCAGTCTGGACACGCTGCGGTCGACAAGGGAAGCCTTTGTCGACCGCTTAGTTATGCCTTGTGAAATGAGGTTTACCGGAGCGGTCGACAAAGGCTTCCCTTGTTGACCGCGGTGCATCTAGAGTGCCCCGCTGTGCTGCCAAACAGCTGACTGGCACAGCGTGGCAGCCATTTTGATGTAAATGAAGCAGCAATTATTTAAATCGCCACTTCATTTTCCTATGTCTAGTAAACTCATCTACATGGCTCCATCGACGGACCATGTAGTCTAGACATACCCCAGGTTGCCTCCTTTTCCCTGGTCACCTTCTTGTTGCTATCATATCTGTAGAAACCTCTCGTTACCCTTCACAGCCCTTGCTAGCTGCAACTCCAATTGAGCTTTGGTCTTCCTGAACACACCTATGCATGCTTGAACAATATTTTTATACTTTTCCCTAGTCATCTTTCCATATTTCCACTTCTTATAAACTTATTTTCTGTATTTAAGCTCACCGAAGATTTCTCTCTCAAGCCAAGTTGGTTGCTTACTATATTTGCTATTCTTTTTGCACATCAGGGTGGTTTGTTCCTGCACCCTCAATAAAGCTTCTTTCATGCAAGACATTTCCTGAGTTGACCTTTCCTAAAGCACATTGATCTCATTTTCTCTCTTATTGTTTACCCAAATAATGTCATGAGACTAATGTTCTATAGTATTCAACATTGTTTAAATACTCTCTTCAAACATTACAGATGGTCATACTATTCATATGAATAATATTTGCTACAAATTTAGCGTCTTTGTAGGGTAGTGAATTATTTTTCTCTGTTTTGAGTATTACCAACCCTGTATTTTGTTAATATAGTCATTGTTCATAACCATTTACTGAATATAAAAGATCCAGGTGCTTTTCTCTAATAAGTGGCATGACCTATGCATTTTATGAATGTGTGTACACAAATACTTCTCTTTGATCAGTTATTGTTTAGAAATGGCTTCTCTATTTTCACAGCAAAATCAAAGAGGAAATAGAAAAAACTATTTCTTTTCACTCATTTGCCCAGTGTGTCGTTTTGTTTTACCAGTGATGCTGCTATAGTAATTCATATCTTTTATTCGATTTATTTTCATACCTGAAACCAAATATCTTTCCCAAGGAGAGTTGTGTTGATAACATTCTTCAAATACTTAGCAAATATCATTCCTAAACTTCCCGTGGTCATCCAGGCTATCAACATCAGGGCCCCTTATGAAAAAACAAAAGACAATGAATGGATTATATACAAAAATTCTAAACAGTAATTCCAACCTTGTTCTAATTACAAAAAAAATTGAAATCACACCTGCAGGTACTACTAAGTAAGCAGAAAACACAGACAAGAATATTTGTGTTAGCTCAACAATAATGCTGCACTTCAAGCTTGATCCTACAAGATGCTGAGTATTCAGGCCACAATTCAGCAAAGCACTCCAAAAAGTGCTTTACAAGAAGTATGCTGGTAACTCCATTGACTTCAATGAGACTCCTCAAGTGTTTAAAGTGCATTATTGGATAGAGACCAGACTAGTCAGGTGTTTCCAGGATTGATCCCTAAGAGATTCTTTCTTCTGAAATAATTAAGCTAGCCAGTTGGCCAGCCAGCCTGCCTTCCAGCTGGACTCCCTCCTTCCCTATTAAGGAACACTTGCAATAGCATGACTGAATTATTAAAGCTGTTAGAGATGTGTTACAGGACAAACTTTATTTTAAATATTAATATTCCTTTAACATTGAAACTCTCACACTAGGGCTTGTTTACACAAACAATTAGAATGAAAAAAGCTGTGGCGTGACAGTTACACTGCAGTTGGCCAGTGCACACCAGTGTCTCATTGCTGTTTGGAGTGAACTAATATTTGCATAGACAACCGGAGGTCAGATGCAGATCAAAAGGAAGCTTTACAAATGGTCAGAAACTCTAGTTTCTTCAGGTTGCACTTGCTTATTTTGCAATGGTGGAAACACAGGTCATCTCTAGAAGTTAGAGACTTGTATAAAACTTAGCAGAAATGGCAGCCTTTGAAAAAAAAATCACACAGATGATGCCAAGAACTCAAAAAATTGCAGGATTGATGCACTTTTTTTTTTTTAGTTATAGACTTTGGTATATAATTGTATTTTATGTACAAGTGAAGCATAGTTGAGTCAGCTACTGGGTCATTATACATTTCTAACCTCTCTCACCCTCTCTCGGTTCTTGTCTCTAACTCTGTTTCTGAGCCTGAGTCTCTCTAGAGGGGATCTCTTTCCTCTCCCTGGTACACTCTTCTTTTCTAAACCTCTCCCTTTCTAGCCATCTTCTTTCCTATAATAGAAATGCAGAGCAGTAATTTTCACATGACAGTGTCACAAAATGTGTCTCTTCATTACTCTGTAAAAATTAAGAAAGATTTAATAACAAAAATCTAGGTGATTAATATGACCAGGCATACTATCATGAAAGAACCATGTAATTTTACTGAGTTTCAATTCAACTATATAGATAATGTGTAGAAATATGCCATTCCTAGGAAAGAGGTATTTGTTTTATAACACATTTTATAATGCATTGAAGACATTCTGTACAGAGAAATCCCAAATCTCAAATCTTTTTTGGGCATAAGCCAAAGAAAACAAATGTCCTAATATATGGATTTCAGAAATCCTCAAATCTGTTTCTATTCTGTATCATTTAGTTAAAGATTAATCTTTTTAGCTTTAATGATTGCAATTGATCTTCCTTGAAACATACTGGAGAGCATTATAAACCCATTAGTAACTACAGTACTCCATATTACAAAATATTTCTTGTGGAATTAAAATGATTATGTTATTTTTGAAAAATCACACAGGAAAGATCAGATTATTAATGAGTTCTGGAAAATTAAAGATAATCCGTTGTGTGGCAGAAAATCAATTTTTCAGTTTTCTAGATCACTGTGAAATACAGGGGATTATCAACTGTATAATATAAATCCTCTTCTCTAAGTTTCAAATGCAAGTCCATGCTCAATTTTATTACTATTATTTAGCCTTTTTACAGTGTCAGCTGCAGAAGATAATTACTTCACATAATTGATACACAGACTTCCATAAAGCCATGCTAATTTACACTTGCTAATTTACACTTGGTTTGCAATGTATTCACCCTCCCCCCAAAACAGATGGAGATTAATATCCATTTATTAAGTTAAAGAATCGTATGATGAATTGCAGAATATAATAAAGTGCGCTCTCCTATCTCCTTCCCCGAGCTCAGTACTCCATCCACTCTAGGATTTATTCTAGCATTCCAACCTGAGAAACTTTAAAAAATGGAAGCTGTTGGATGTCCATCCCTCAAATGTGGAATTTCCCGCCATTCCTCTAAAATGGGCAAATTTCAGCCTAACACCAATTATCTAGACATAAAAATGACATTAAAGTACAATATGATCTGAATCTGCAGGACTAGAAATAGGAGCCTTATTTCATAGGAAAGGATGTGATTATGAGCATATCTATAAAACAAACACTTTCCCCTTTAAAAGTTTAGAAGCTGTAGAAACCATTTTCATATTTAGCTAGAAGCCATCTTGTATAACAGAAACCATTTCAGCTTTTCTCTCAAGCACGTAGACCAGAGTGAACTTTCTGTCGCCCCCTACAGGATAGGCTATTGGTATGTGTTAATTGGGCTGGTTGGGGCAGGAGATGTACTCCCTCGTACCTGTCTGCCATCTTGTTGATAAGGCTTTGTTTTTCCAAATTTAATTGAGGATTTCTGTAATTGGATGGCCTAACATCAGACTGTTTGGCTAAGGGTATAAAGATACTAGGATTGATTGTATTAGCCAGCTTTACTGGGCCCGGCTCTGCTGGGACCACGTTTGGCTCATGCTGTGCTTTATTAATTAATAAAGCTGTTTGTTAGCTGCCTAAACAGAGAGGAGCGTTTTTTTTGCTTCAACAAAAGGAAGGGATGGATAGCTGATTCATCCAGTTACTTTCTTAAAAATATTCTTACCGTGAGCCTTAATAATAGAATGTGAAGAATCGGTGGCTCCTACTGCTTCATAGCTTGAAATATTTACTTTCCGAGGAGTGATGAAAGGTGTCCTAGAATGAATGTATATCTGTCCTGCAAACATTAAGCAATCATTATTCAAGCTATTGGTCTCTTTAAAATAAATCAATAATAAATATATACAAATTATTCACTGGCCAAGAGTAATCAGTTAATATGGTATCTGACGCAATACAGGAGGACATATCGCAGGAACCAAGAATGTGCACAACCGCAGCTTAATAGTTTTGATTTGGAATCTCTTCTACGATAGCTCCCCCAAGATGAGGCTTGTTGTTTTAGATTCATGTTTAGATGTTTCAGATTTTCATTTGAACGTTTGTCCACAGAACATGAGGAGAGTCAGAAATTGGTGTCATGTCTATGGGTTCAACTCAGATGGGCTACTTCCGAATAATAAATATTATTCAGACACTTATGGTCTTTTCTGGCATTTGCAGAACATGTAGCTCATAGTATCAGAATTTTTCAACATTTTATCCTTTGTTCTTTGCATGTAGAGCACCTAGACCAATATTTATAAATGTGGATGCCTAAAGTTGGGCTCTTAAATCCGTATTTGAGAGACTAAACAAATGGCTTAGTTTTCAGAGGGGCTGAGTCCCTGAAAATACCACTGTAGACAAAGGCACTCAACAGACTGCAGGATCAAACCCTAAATTTGTAAATTTCTTTGGCTTAGATTTAATATTTGGGTGGCCAAATAAAGGTTTATAGTGATCTTCTGGTGTCGTTGAGCCACTATTTCTACTGCAAATGCAATGGCATTTGCCCTAATTTATCATTGTTTCTTGGGGTTTAACTATAAAATTATCTTTTATCTTAATAAAAAAATTAGGAATTTAACAGGAAGGCAAAAGAATCCATGCTGGCCAATTCATTTGCAGAACTGAATCTTAGGGAGAATCTAAAGAGCGAGGCAATGTGTATTCTATATGTGTGATTTCTGGAACACACTAATGTGTTGTGCATTAATTTGCCCATGTAGTGCTCTGAAAGGTCCCTAGGGAACTTTGATGTAGTAGTGTTTCAAACAGCATTATGATAAAGTACATGTGGAAACTTCTTGTGTGCACCAGCAGAATCTACACAGACCAGTTAGTGCACACAACAAGCATATGCTTTAGAATCAGACACTCTCTCTCCCCTCAAGATGCACATCACTTCACCAAATATATTAGCCCACAGTGGCAAAGGTTTTCCTCAATCCTTCACCCCAATGTTTTAATAGGCTGCATTAATCATGATGGGGCTGGAATCCTGGGCCAGGCCACATCTGAATTCAGCACAACTCAGGTAGATGGGTGCAAAAGGAGTTTTAAATTATATTTACATGACCCACTTCTATCCTGTCCTGATACCAGGTTATGCCCTCAACACAGCGGCCTCAGAGCTGTTTTAAGTGACAGCTACCTGTGCATGGTCTCTGTGCCTCGTCTCCCTCCCCACAGGTCTATTTGGGCATGCATGTGTGTATGGATGCATTTTTGTGCACACCCTCTGTTTACTCTTCCTTTTGGACTTTGCAGGATAAGGTAATACTTACCAGCTGTTGATGGTCCATGGGCCAGAAATATGAAGTACAAACTGCTAGCGGCTTTTAACTGAGTTGATATGGCGTTTCTTGTAATGAAGGAGCAGCTGATTTTTCCACTATTAAAGGAAGTCATTGTGATCTGCACATCACCCTGAAATCGGAGTATCTGTAATTACTAGAACATTCATCACACTTGTTAAACAAGTGACAGAATTTGTAAATTGTTTAGCAGAAATAGCACCTATCCTAGCAATTGCTAGTTACAAAATTTATTATGAGCTAATAGGAAAGAGCTATTTATAGAGTTTTGTGATATAAATTACAAAAAAAACCCCAACATTTTAAAAATTAAGACAAGACTATAAATTTGCAAAAGGCATAAACAACAAAATTCTGTTGACTAGTCTTACATTTCTGACCAGTTAAATGTTTAGCAGCATATTGCTTGTTTAAGTTTTACTGCATAAATCAATGAGTAATCCACATTTTATTTTCTTCTCTGCCTATCTTGGTCTTTGTTTAGCTATTAGTCTTTGCTAATATCAGCTCAGAGTCGAGCCAGGAGAATAATGTGTGTGAAAATATGTCCATGGTCCAAATCAGTTTTAAGGAATAAGCTTCATTCAGAGCAAAGTTATACCGTTAGCTTTCCATACCGTAGCACACAGTTAGATGATCTTATTCTGTTTGGAATGCAGCACGGATAATGCTGTAACTCAGACACAGCTATGGAATAAAAAGCATGCAAAGGAAATCATATGCAAACACTTGGAAGGTAATAAAGTGATAGGGAATAGCCAGCATGGGTTTGTGAAGAACAAGTCATGCCAAACTAATCTGATAGCTTTCTTTGATAAGATAACGAGCCTTGTGGATAAGGGAGAAGCGGTGGATGTCATATACCTACAATTTAGTAAGGCATTTGATACGGTCTCACATGATATTCTTATTGATAAACTAGGCAAATATAACTTAGATAGGGCCACGATAAGGTGGGTGCATAATTGGCTGGATAACCGTAGTCAGAGAGTGGTTGTTAACGGTTCTAAATCCTGCTGGAAAGGGATAACAAGTGAAGTTCCTCAAGGGTCTGTTTTGGGACCCATACTGTTCAATATCTTCATCAATGATGTAGATATTGGGATAGAGAGTACGCTTATTAAGTTTGCAGATGATACCAAACTGGGTGGGGTTGCAACTTCTTTGGAGGATAGGGACATAATTCAAAATGACCTTAGCAAGTTAGAGAAATGGTCAGAGGTAAACAGGATGAGGTTTAATAAAGAGAAATGCAAAGTGCTCCACTTAGGAAGGAACAATCAGTTCCATACATACAAGATGGGAAGCGACTGTCTAGGAAGGAGCATGGCGGAAAGAGATCTAGGGGTCATAGTGGACCACAAGTTGAATATGAGTCAACAGTGTGATGCTGTTGCAAAAAAAGCAAATATGATTCTAGGTTGTATCAACAGGTGTGTTGTAAGCAAAACTCGTGAAGTCATTCTGCCGCTCTACTCTGCACTAGTTAGGCCTCAGCTGGAGTACTGTGTCCAGTTCTGGGCGCCACATTTCAAGAAAGATGTGGAGAAATTGGAAAGGGTACAGAGAAGAGCAACAAGAATGATTAAAGGTCTAGAGAACATGACCTATGAAGCCAGGCTTCATGAACTGGGCTTGTTTAGTTTGGAAAAAAGAAGATTAAGGGGGGACATGATAGCGGTTTTCAAATATCTAAAAGGGTGTCACAAGGAGGAAGGAGAAAATTTGTTCCTCTTGGTTTCTGAGGACAGGACAAGGAGTAATGGGCTTAAAGTGCAGCAGGGGAGGTTTAGATTGGACATTAGGAAAAAATTCCTAACTGTCAGGGTGGTCAAATATTGGAATAAATTGCCAAGGGAGGTGGTGGAATCTCCCTCTCTGGAGATATTTAAGAACAGGTTAGATAGACATCTGTCAGGGATGGTGTAGACGGAGCTTGATCCTGCCTTGAGGGCGGGGGGCTGGACTCGATGACCTCTCGAGGTCCCTTCCAGTCCTATGATTCTATGATTAACACAGAGAACAGTGTTACTCTACTCATACATACAATGTAACCTGGAATTAAATTACCAAAGGCAAAATGTTGGGAGCAGTTTGTCCTGTTGAAAAGGCATGTTGAACTTCTATTTGTCCTGTGGCATTCTTACCACAAATATAAATGTCGTCATTCCCCTGAAAAAGCAGAGATTTGCCCATGTCAGTGAATAAAGCTCCATGCAGTTCTTACACAGAGTAATCTCTCACAAACTTTGATAGGAGAACCATAATTGTAATAAACCAAAACCCAATAGATATTGGAGAGTACCTTTAGATTAGTGACAACTGGCATATTGTCCAGTACCTTTGGACCTGAAATATAATCTTCTATTCAGTTATTTGTGAAGGAAATAGTTAGAACATGTGTCTAGTATGTGACATTCATCCACCTTTCTTCCAGTGTGGTTCTAATGAAGCCACTGAAACAACAGTCTCCCTTACACATAACCTTTCATTTCAGTCTAAGGCATCTATTCTAATCTAAAGCACGGTGGTAAATAGGCCAATGGTGGGATGATAGAAGTTACTATAGAGAACTTTTTCCTGGGTGTCTGGCTGGTGAGTCTTGCCCACGTGCTCAGGGTTCAGCTGATCGCCATATTTGGGGTTGGGAAGGAATTTTCCTCCTTGGTAGATTGGCTGAGGCCCTCGAGGTTTTTTGCCTTCCTCTGAAGCATGGGGCACGGATCACTTGCTGGAGGATTCGCTGCATCTTGGGGTCTTTAAACCATCATTTGAAGACTTCAATATCTGAGATATAGGTGACAGGATTATTCCAGGAGTGGGAGGGTGAGATTTTGTGGCCTGCATTGTGCAGGGGGTCAGACTAGATGATCATAGTGGTCCCTTCTGACCTTAAAGTCTATGAGTCTATGAGCTACTAAAATTGGGCATTTTTAAAATCAGTATGCCCTGGTAACCTGCATTCAAGAGTTTTAAAGGAGTTGGCTGAGAACCTTGCTGGAACATTAATGTTATTTTTCAATCAGTCTTGAATCACTGGGAAGTTCCAGAGACTGGAAGAAAGTTGGTGTTGTGACAGTATTTTAAAAGAGTTAATCATATAATCCTTGTAATTATAGATCTATCAGTTTGACACAATCCAATGTCTGGGATTGAGACCAGAAATAAAGTATACATTTTAGATTAAATCACCACTGGCACAATTTGCCAAGTGTCATCGCTGACATCTTTTAAATCAAGATGAGTTTTTTTCTAAATGATAAAACTGAGGAATTAATTTAAAGAAAGTCTGTAACCTATGTTATATAGGAGGTCAGAATAAAGGATCAGATTGCTCCATTCTGTCCTTGGAATTTGTGAATGATCAACACTAGGACAAGAAGCAATGGGCTTAAACTGCAGCAAGGGAAGTTTAGGTTGGAAATTAGGAAAAACTTCCTGTCAGGGTGGTTAAACACTGGAATAAATTGCCTAGGGAAGTTGTGGAATCTCCATCACTGGAGATATTTAAGAGCAGATTGGATAGACATCTGTCAGGGATGATCTAGATGGTTCTTGGTCCTGCCATGAGGGCAGGGGACTGGACTTGATGATCTTTCAAGGTCCCTCCCAGTTCTAGCATTCTAAGATTTTCTATGTTTGCTAAACATTGTGATCACAGAATAGTTCATTGTCAAGTTTCCGCAGTTTACAAAATAGAAGTTTGTTCTTGTTCCAATAGTGAATTCAGGGATAGTATCTTACCATTTCTGTATCATCAGAAAACCCAATGGCCACATATCCATCAGAAAGACCACTCATTTCAAATTTAAAAGCATCACCACCTTGTGCCTCAGAAGACATAAAATAACAGTTTGGATCATTCAGATTACATCCAGGGGGACTGCTGAAACAGAACTTCTGTGTGCCACAGCCTTCACGTCCAGAGGTCTATAATATATAACAGCATGGAAAACTATTAGATGATAAGTTAATGTGCCAATATTATTAACCAGTATTATCTAAACGAGGATCTGTGGGCCATATCCATCCCACAAGAGCCTCAGCCAGCTCCCTGCCTGCCCTCCCGGGCACTCCTGAAAGCTGGCTGCAGGGCCACGTGTGTGTTTCTGAACGCTGAAAGCCTGGAGGGAAGGGGAGACAAGCTTCTCATGCTGCCCCTGCCCCCAATAGCTCCCGTTGGCTGGTTTCCGCCAATAGCAGCTGCATGTTTGCAGGACAGACAGCATGTGAAGTGCCTCCCCGCCATCATCCCCCGGGTTTAGAGCATTCAGTTCAGAGCAAAAAATATGGCTCCAGAAGCTCCTCTGAGCATGTACAGGAGCTGGAAGGCAGGGACCCTGGCTAAGGAACCTGCTGGGCTTCTAGCTGGGAACCAGGTAAGGTTTCCCAGCCAGAGCCTGTCTCTGGCACACCAGCCTCCCCCTCCCCCAACCCTCTGCCCCCCTTCCTATGTAACCCAAACCTTCTGCACCCCTGTTCCAGCCCCCATACACCTTCCCAGACACTGCATCCCTTCCTACAACCCTCCTCAGGTCACAACCCCCTCTCAGTCCTTGCACGCTAATCTGCTGCCCCGGGCACAGCCCAAATCCATCCTGCACTCTTGCCCCAAGTTACAGCCCGCTCCCAAACCCTGCACTCCGTCCTCCTACACCCCTCCCCTGGGCCAGAATCCTCTCCTGAACCCATATGCCTCCCTGCACTCCAGTTCCCTGTCCCAGGTCACAACTAGGGATGTAAGCAAATAGTCATCAGGCTCTTAATATATTTAAATGGTTAAAGCTCAGCGGGGGACCAGGTGCGAGCTGGTAATCAGCTATCCCAGCTTGCACCTGGTCCCCCTGCTGCACTTTAGCCTTTTAAATGTATTAAGAGCCATTAGGCTCTTAATACATTGAAAAGTTAGAGCTGCTGCAAAACACACTGTGACTCTGCAATTCCCTGCCCCCCCCCCATCAACTTATCAACTAGTTGATGGAAATTCCATTGACTAGTCGATTAGCTGATTAAACACCATTTACCCTCCCTAGTCAGAACCCAAACCCTTGCACTCCTTCCCTTCCAGACCTTGCACCCTGTCCATTGTGACAGGTCACAATCCCATTCTTCAACCAAACTCCCTCCCAGATACTACACCCCAATCCTTTGCCCCAAGCTTCCTTCTGCACCCAACCTCTATCCCAGACCCCCAGATAATGGAGCAGGTAATTAAGGAAATCATATGCAAACACTTGGAAGGTAATAAAGTGATAGGGAATAGCCAGCATGGGTTTGTGAAGAACAAGTCATGCCAAACTAATCTGATAGCTTTCTTTGATAAGATAACGAGCCTTGTGGATAAGGGAGAAGCGGTGGATGTCATATACCTAGACTTTAGTAAGGCATTTGATACGGTCTCGCATGATATTCTTATTGATAAACTAGGCAAATATAACTTAGATAGGGCCACAATAAGATGGGTGCATAATTGGCTGGATAACCATAGTCAGAGAGTTGTTGTTAACCTCTAAAAATTTGAAATGTAGGTCAGACCCCTTTGGAAATCTTAGATGTACTCTGTGGACCCCCATGTTGTCCACAGATCACAGTTGAAAAATCACTGTTCTATGGCAACAATGACCTTTTACAGACCCTCATGGACATAGTCTGTGGACGACATGGGTCCACAGGCCTGAAATTGAAAAACACTGGCCTGCACCATTAATGACCCAAGGGAGCCTTATTCTTGAACCTCATTGAAATTTCTTTACATAGTTAAAGAATCTATACTATAAATATTACTGCATCAGAAATAATTTCTGGTAAGTCTTTAAAGTCATTGAGCCAAATTGACTTTAGATACTTGCACACAGCACACTGAATTCAGTGAGAGTTGTACTTGTTAATGTGAAAGCAGGATTTGGACTTTCCTCTTGCGGTATCTATGAGACAATGTATGTGTGCCTGTATCTATAGTGTAGACGCTAAATTCCTTGTATCTTTGTAAAGTAGCCACACTATAAAGCCCTGTATAGACAAAGTGAAAACTGTAGTAGGATACTATGAAGCAACTCCATGGAATATTTGCAATTTCGTAAAAGAAAGGATTTAATGTTCTCCCTTCATTGCTGTACTTTGTAAATTAAATAATCTGGTAATATAAAAATGTATATAGGTACTAGTTCTAGTTATATCTGAGACTAAAAAGCCATTGAAAGTTGTGTTGTGAATGTAATACTATAACCATTTTGAAAGTCTCAGAGAGGTAGCCATGTTAATCTGTAACTAACAAAATTTTAAAAACAACAATGGTCCTGTAGCACCTTAGAGATCCACATGGGTGGATCCTTACAGCTGCTCACAACCCAGCTAAAGTGAAATGTGGGTTCTTCTGCCCACAGATAATATGGCAGGGCTAAGCTGTTAGTGGACTGAGGGCAGATCTACACTGAACCTGGAAGGAAGGCTTAAGGTACACAACTGCAGCTACGCAAAATGCATACTTGGAGTAATCTTACCTTAAGATGAGCCGTGGTGGTCATGGAAGAGTGCAGTCCTCAACCTCTTACCAAATTCTTGACCAGTACTATCCAAATGAAGATCTGCGGTCCAGATCCAGCCCATGAGAGCCTGAGCCCTCCCTGTCTGCCCTTCCCAGCACTCTGGAAAACCGGCTGCAGGGCCACATATGTGTTTCTGAACGCTGAAAGCCTGGAGGGAGGGGAGACAGGCTTCTCATGCTGCTCCCCCCCCCAGTAGCTCTCATTGGCTGGTTTCAGCCAATAGCAGCTGCCTGTTTGCTGCACAGGCAGCATGGGAAGCTCCCATCAAAAATTATTGCCCACCTCTGGGCTACACTCTACTATGTACCAAACCAAAACCTCACTTTCAACTCTTCAGCTGTTAGGAGAAATGAAAGAGGTAGATCTACATGCAGAACGGTTGTCACTTAAAAAAATATTAAATACCACCCTATCTCCCTATGATCAAGATAGGAGTAACGATCTCAGAGGTTTTGTTGTTGTAACTCTGGGGAGATGTGAACTTTGCATTGCAACTAAACATTGCATGGAACAGTTTCCTCTTTTTATCCTCTTCTTCTCTAAAACGTCCTCATTCAAAGTCAACGTGAGCATATCTACAAGTCAAGCTTTCCAGGCTGGCTGTTCAAGCCTGACACCCTTGAAACTAGAGATTCCTTGCTCCTTTGCAAATTGCCTACTGAATTCCACTTGCCCCAGCAAGACTTGGTTTTAGGCAGTTTTTTTCTTAGAGCCCCTATGGCATTTTATAGAGGTGGCTCCGGCACCAGCTACCCCACCATGTCCTGTTCAGAGATGTTGCTAGTTAGTCCACAACTACTTATTGTTAGGGTACTACCCAAAGCATTGTCTATTATAGCTAATTTCATGGCCATAGGATTTGAAAATGGGAAAATTTCACATTTTCAGCTGTTTAAAACTGAAAATTCATTGTGTTGTAACAGAACCAAAAGAAAATTGTGGGGGGTTGCAAATCCATTGTAAGGGGATCATGGGATTGCCATTCTCACTTCTGTGCTGCCTGCAGAACTGGTCCCCAGAAGGCAGCAACCACAGAGCTTCCTACAGCTACAGGAGGTTCCAAGAAGTAGAGGTAGGTCTGATCTCAACCATGCTGTTGGAAGCACTCCAGCCAGGGGCTCCTTGCTGCTAGTCCTAGCTGCTTGGGAGGGACAATAATTGCTCTTGCTCTGCATGGCTGTTCTTGGGTACCTCCACCAGCTGCAGAAAGTTCTGCACCCTGTTACCTCACACTTGCTTCTAGTCCCCATCGCTCCACAGCTGTACCAGGATGGGTTACTGTACAGGGTGTCCCCCCTTCTAGATGCAATTATTAACGCGTTTCAGTAAGATAAAGAAAGGTCATGGGAACCTTTACAAGATTTACTGATTGACACTTTACAGCAGCAAATAACACTCAGGATTCTCCAAGCAGCTCAGGGAAAATCTGATCCAACAGCCGCCTCCAACTGTAGGAACCTCAGGCTGCCCAGTCCAGGTACGTCTACACAGCAGGGCTACAGTTGAATTAAGATATGCTATTTGAGCTACGTCAATTGCGTAGCTGAAGTTGAAATAGCTTAATTAGGCTTTTGGCGCTATCTACACAGCAGGAAGTAGAAGGAAGAGCACTTGTCCTTTGACTTCCCTTATTTCTCGTGAAATTAAAGTTACCATGAGTCAGAATAAGAAGTCCTCCAGCATGATATTATTCTGAAATAAAAGCTTGTAGTGTAGATGCACACAATGTTATTTCAGATATCTGCAGCTGTCTTGCATCTACAGGATTGTTTCCCTAACTGCTACATGGGGACATGCTTGATGCTGACAGGTAGGTCCCTCCCACACAGCATTTCACTAAGGAAGAGGCTGGATATACACAGCAGTAAGAGGCAAGGCTCTCAGCAGTGTCCTTCTCCTTTCCAGCTGTGGCACAGGGTCTTCCCCTTAGGGGTTTGCTCCTGGGAAAACCAGATTCTATTTATTCCGTGTACCAGTCAGAGACTGTCTACCACACCAAAGAGTTGTTCTAAATGCCTGTATGATGGGAGATAGAAGAGTTTAACTGGCACCAGTAAACATCACCCATTAAGAGTGGTGCTTACTGGTTAACTTTTCACATCCCTACTGTGCATGGGAGCAGGGGCAGATGAGAGTTTTGCGGGGCCCAGGGCAGCACAGTTTCGCGGGCTCCCCTTTGGAGAAAAAATAGAAAAAAGGCGTCAAATGCGCACATTGAAGGCTATTTTCATATTACATGTGAATTGGGTAAATTTGATAGAAACTTAATTTAGCTGGATAATTTTTATTTTAATTATATTGTGATTCATTCTTAAACAAAGTTCTACATTAATAATTAAACATTTCCATTCTATTAAAGTCTATTACAGCTGTCTAGCTCTTTTGGCAGCTGGGTCTCTACCAGCCGGTGGGAAAAGGCTTTTCCCCAGCATCAGCCCCTTTTCCAGCCCCAGACACGGTAGCAACGAGGCGCTCGGGGAGCAGGGAAATCCTGACCCGGTTTAGAAGGGATTGGCTGCTATGTCCAAGCCAGCAGCCTCTCAGGAGCCTGCAGAGCAGCTGGAGGGAAAGGAGACTGCACCTCAGGCCCCAGGCAGGGCCAGAGGAGGGACCATAGAGGCTGCCCAAACTGGCCCTTCCGAGAAAGGGAGCTCGGACACAGCAAACGCGCCTTCCACTGTCGCCCCCCATGGGAGTGGCCCGAGCAGAGTGCTCTGCCAGCCTGATGCTGCGCAGCTTGTGGGCTGGGTCCCTCCTGGCTGGGGCTGGGGGCAACCAGCTGGCTCAGTCGCCTTGCGTCCACACCAAGGCAGCTGTGTGGGCCTTTGGTGCCCGACTGCTCCAGCTGCTCTACTGCCAGGAAGGGAACAGCCCCCGATGCGCAGACCCCGCGTAGGCATGGACCAGCTAATGTGGGGCTCACGAGGCTCCCCCACACCGAGACCACCCCTTCGCATGCTGGAGAAAAGGACTCTGGCTGCAGGATCGGGCAGTAGCTGGGGGGCAGGAGATTTGGGGTGGGGCGGGGCCAGGCACAGCGCCGCGTTGCCGGAGGCTGCAGCTGCTGCCACTTTATTATTTTTTACTCTTTCAAGGAGCTGGTCTCGTGTCTGAGTCTGCGGAGCTGGGAAAAGGCACCTCATGGTACCCACCCGCCAGCAGAGACCCCCCCAGAGCGCCTGCGGGCAGCCGGGCTGCTCTAGACAGAACTGCAGATGCTGGGGGGGATGCTCTGTGGGACAGGGCCCTGAGAGCGCTGCCCACACGCGAACATCTCCCTGCCCGAGTCCCACCTGCTCCCAGGATCTCGTGGCTTCCCTGTGAGGCACGGAGCAGTGGCACCCTCTAGTGGCGAAAGCTAGAAAGTGACCCCACTGGCGCGGGGCCTATTGAAGTGCGGGGCCCGGGCAGCCACTCCGCTCGCCCTGCCCTATATCCGTCGCTGAATGGGAGGAACTCAGGGGATTATGGGGCTTGGTGCGGGGCAGCAGCAGGGGTCACCCCTCAACCATGGCGGCGAGATCTGGAGCAACCCAAAAGCCTGCTCCACTGCATCATGCCACACCACCCTTTCCTGGCTGGCTGTGCTCTGGGAAGTAGAGCACCCCAGGCCTAGGGCATTAGACTTCCCACCACAGTGGAGAAGCAGAGGGCAGCAGAAGGGGAGGTGGAGCAGGCTGCCTGGCCGCTTCAGCTCCCCATTACCAAGATGAGTGTGGGGGACAGGTGACCCTGTTGCTGCCCCATACCTGGCCCCGTAATCACCCCGTAATCCTGTGCTGCTTGCAAGAGGGTGCAAGGGAACAGAGCTGGGGTGGGCACAGGTGGAGCCAGGGTAGGGATTAGGGGTGGAACAGTAGGGCAGAGAAGGGATAGAACAGAGGCAGGCTGAGGGTGGAGGGGGCGGAGCCTGCAGCATGGAAGTTGCCCTGGGCCCTGCGTCTGGGGCACTGGTTGTGGGGGGAGTTGCCTAGGGATGTGTTCACCTAGGGATGGCCCTGCTCCTTTGTGACAGCACACAGAGACTCCAAAGAATCCCTGCAGCTGTGCTGCTTTCCAACTCACCTCCCTATCCTGACAGCGAGTGGTGTGCTGCTGACTAAGGGCATATCTGTGTACGTGCTCCTGCTGCCAACAATACTCTCTGGCTACGTCTACATTGGCCCCTATTACGGAATAGGCATGCAAATGTAGCACTTTGGAAGAGGCAAATCCGCGGCGGATTTAAATATCCCCCGCGGCATTTGCATTTTCATGGCCGCCGCTTTTTTCCGGCTTGGAGATAAGCCGGAGAAAAGCGTCCAGACTGACGCGATCCTCCGGAATAAAGCCCTATTCCGGAGGATCTCTTATTCCTACTTGCAAGGAATAGGGCTTTATTCCGGAGGATCGCGCCAGTCTGGACGCTTTTCTCCGGCTTATCGCCAAGCCGGAAAAAAGCGGCGGCCATGAAAATGCAAATGCCGCGGGGGATATTTAAATCCCCCGCGGATTTGCCTCTTCCAAAGTGCTACATTTGCATGCCTATTCCGTAATAGGCAGCCAGTGTAGACACAGCCTACGAGTGTTAAAAGAGATTAGAGACAGGTGAGACCACTAATCTAGTTCCATATTGAACTGATGACATTGATAGAAATGGAGTGAAGGGTCTTCAAGTCAGCATTGAGGACTAAGCAGTTTAAATAGTAGACCCTGTAGGTTACTTTCCCTGGAAACACTATCAATACCACTCCTTGGCAAGCATACAGTCACAGTAACATAAATCTGATAGAATGCCATGAGTCCAGAGAAGAAGGTTTCTGTATGTGGAAAGTAACTGTGTTATTTTGAGGTAGTTTTGGTTCAGACAGAGGCTATACAATCTTTTCCTCTGTAGCTCCCTCAAATCACCTCAGTTCTGACCTACAGAATCTTTGCTATTCTCCTTCTTGGCCTCTCAAATTAAAATAGACTATTGTAGATTCTGCACAAAAGGCAGCTTCTATCATTGCATTTAACATTAAGTAAAACCATCATCACTATCACAAAAGGTATTTAAAATGGACTAAAAGCAAGTTTAAATTTAGTTTATTTTATTAGAAGTCATCATCTTAGCAGGAGTTTAGCTCTAATTAAACCTCTGAGCAAAAATTTCCTGGGAAAATTACCCCAAATTTATTCATTTGACTCACCGTTATGCATGTTTGTGAAACAAACAATATATTCACATTCATAATAACATGAAAAACTTACTAAGTTAGTGGGTGAACTGGAAGACAAAAGAGTTTGACTTCTGACATCAGTCCAGAAAACTTTGAAATGCTGAACAACAGTTGCTCTGGGAACGAAACCAAACAAACACCACACATATCATTTTGAAGCATTATTTGGGAAATGTTCTGATAAATCACCAGTAATGTTTCTAGATTTATGCATGGATTTATTACTACCGGCAAAATGTCTGACTTTTTAACATAAGAAAATAAGAATGGCTATACTGGGTCAGACCAAAGGTCCTTCTAGGCCAGTATCCTGTCTTCTGGCAGTGGCCACTGTCAGGTGCCAAAGAGGGAATGAACAGAACAGATAACCATCAAGTCATCCAGCCCCTGTTGCCCATTCCCATCTTCTGACAAAACAGAGGCTAGAGACACCATTCCTGCCGATCCTGGCTAATAGCCATTGATGGACCTAGCCTCCATGAATTTATCTAATCCTTTTTTGAAGAGAAAAAGGACTTGTTAAAGAACTGAAATTCACAACATCCTCTGGCAAGGAGTTCCACAGGTTGGCTGTGCTTTGTGTGAAGAAGCACTTCCTTTTGTTTGTCTTAAACCTACTAATAATTAATTTCATTTGGTGACCCATAACTAATGTGGAAAAAGTGAATAAGGAAAGATTATTTACTTGTTCGTATAATAAAAGAACTAGGGGTCAGTACACAGTATTCAAGATGTGGGCAATAAGATATTCTCTGTCTTATTCTCTAACCCTTTCTCAATGATTCCTAGCATTCTGTTTACTTTTTTGTTGCTGCACATTGTGTTGCACATTGTGTTGCTGCACATTTTCAGAGACCTATCCACAATGACTCCAAGATATCTCTCTTGAGTGGTACCAGCTACTTTAGTTTCCATTATTTTATACTTGTTTCCAAGTGCATTACTTTGAATTTATCAACACTGAAATTCATTTGCCATTTTGTTGCCTGTCACCTAGTTCTGTAAGATCCCTTTGAAGCTCTTTACAGTCTGCTTTGGATTTAACTTTCTTGAGCAGTTTTGTATCATCTGCAAATTTTGCCACCCTGCTGTTTACCCCTTTCTCCAGATCATTTATGAATATGTTCAATAGGATTGGTCCCAGTTTAGATCCCAAGGGGACACCATTAGCTACCTCTCTCCATGCTGAAAACTGACCATTTATTCCTACCCTTTGTTTCCAGTCTTTTATCAAGCCATGAGAGGACAACTTGCTTTGCTTAAGAGCCTTTGGTGAAGGATCTTGCCAAAGATTTTCAGGAGATCTAAAGTACACTGTATCCACTGGATTCCCCTTGCCACATGCTCAAAGAATTCTACTAGAATAGATAGATGCATTTACCTTTAGAGCTGGAAGTGGAATTAAAGTTTAAGAGTGGCCATTGTTTGGGGAAACATTGTTCAGTAACTTGTTATAAGACAAATCTTAAAACAAAACCTCCCTTGCCAGCATATCTTAAAAGTATTAGAAATGAAACGTAAAGGCCAGAAAGTAGTAAAAAAGGATGAGAAAGTCTCAAATTACCATTGTTACAAAATTGCTAAGGGTAAGCCTTTTGCAAAATCTAACAGAAGATTTTCCTATTTCTTCAAATTAATTTATTTAAGAAATATTAGTATAGTAGGAATCAAAAATGTACCTAAATTGCACATTTCCTGTGCCTGAAGGTGCTACCCAAACTGCTGTTACATATTGTTTTCTGCTGGAACTTGTGTGACTCACTGAAGAATTCTGTAATTAAAAATGAAGGCAAATGCTCAAATGAAATAAAGTAATGCACTTCCCCCTGCTCCTGCTTCCCGAAACATCCTTCCTGTCTCAGCAATCTATCTATTGGCTTTAATCTTTATCTGCTTAGGTTTAAGTACCCATTCTCCACATACTTAATGATGCCCTGTTCCTCCACCCCTCATCTCCCTTCCTCTTTCTTTTCTCTTCCCCTCTCATATTTATTTCCATATCCCTTACTCATAACTCCGGTCATCTGAAGAAGTGGGCTGTGCTCACGAAAGCTCCTGATACCATCTACATGTTTTGTTAGTGTATAAAGTGCTACCAGACTGTGACGGGGCAGAGCAGCCCCGCCACTCGCTAGCGTTACCCGGGGCCGCCGAGAGAGAGGGCACGGACGCGGCAGGCCGCTCGGGCCTAAGAAGCGGGGGCGAGGAGGCCGTGGGGCGTCATCACTGTGCGCCCAGGGACGTGACGGGTGATGTCACAGGCGCGACGACGGAGGGGGAGGAGGGGACCCGGAAGAGCCGGGGAGAGTAGAAAGGAGGCAGGAGGAGACGCGAGGGGGATGGACGGCGTGGAGGGAGCGGAGAGAGAGAGTGCAGCAGGGGGGAAGAACTCTGCAGGAAGAGCCCCGGCGGGGGAGGTTCCGAACGGGGCAGCCGGATAGCCGGCGCAGCATGCCGGCGGAGTGGAGAGGGACCCAGGGCGGGTCGTGGATCCCGGGAGCAGGTGCGTTTGGGGTGCTAACCCCCCTGCTACCACCGAGAGGCACGCTCTCGGTGTCAGGGCCCTGGGTCGGGGTCCGGAGTGAGGGTGGGCCCGGACCCCCCACTCCGCCTAGGAGGCGCGGAAGCGAGTGATGCATCGTGCACAACCTAACTTCTAACAGGGTGGGGGCGGCAGTCTGTGCTGCGCCCCGTGACACGTGGTGGAGAATGTGGGTATGACTGCGCCCCTGTGACTTAGGGTGCGAGGGTGGTGGGTTTTGTTTCCACTCTATTTTACTGCCATCTCAAATAGGCAACGGCACCATGGATGCCGACAAAATCGTAGAATGGCTGGTGGATAGCCAGCGCCAGCTCCAGAGGCAACAGACGGAGGCATTGCGACAACTAACCTCCGAGTTCAGAGAGCAACAGAGGCAGCTGGTGAGGGAGCTGAAGGATGGGACGGGACTGATCGGACCCACCAACGAAGGAGAAGAGGACACGGCGGGCCCGGCGCAACTCCCCATCAGGCTCACCAAGTTGGGGGCCAAGGACGACGCAGAGGCGTTCCTGGTAACTTTTGAGCGGGTGGCCACCGCGGCCCGCTGGCCCCAGGAACACTGGGCTACCATACTCGCCCCCTACCTATCCGGCCCAGCCCAGCTCGCCTACCGGAGCTTGTCCGACCGTGACTCGTTGTGTTACTACAAGGTCAAGGAGGCGATCCTTGACCAGCTGGGCATTTCCCCTGAGACGTACAGGCAGAGGTTTCGGGCGGCCAAGTATGCAGCGGGAGAGCGGCCACGGGCGGTCGCCCAGCGGATCCGGGAAGCCGGGTTATGGTGGCTGGAACCTTCCACCAAGACCGCGGCTCAGGTGGCCGACCTGGTGGTGCTCGAACAGTACTTGCAAGTACTCCCCGCAGAGGGCCAACAATGAGTACGCCGGCACCTGCCCGGAACCCTAGAAGAAGCCGTGACGCTCATGGAGCACTTCTTGGCAGCCAAGACGCCGGAAGGAAACGGCAAGGTAGGAACGGGGACCAACCCGGTGGGCCGGGGAGGCCCTAGCCCCAGAGGGAAGGAAGGGCGGGATAGCACGGGGCCTAGAGCTGGAAGCCCCCCAGCCCAAGGGCCGGAGCGACGATTAGCCCCGGTGTGGCGCAGAACCGAGGACCACGGAAAGGGGAACCCCGGGCCGACGCCGGAAGGAATGTGGAGGATGCACCGAGGGCCCAGCCGAAACCGACGTGCTACCAGTGCGGCCAGGAAGGCCACATCCGCCGGGATTGCCCCATGATGGACTGCACCTACGGCCAGCCCAGACCCCGGAAAGGCCCACGGCAGGAGGTAAGCCGGGCCCGCATGATAAGGCAGGTACGCTTGAACGGGGAGGTAGTGGAAGCCGTGTTGGACTCGGGGTGCGGGCAGACGCTCGTGTGGAGAGACGCGCTAGGGAGAGCGGGGCACACGGGAACACCGGTTTGGATCAAGTGTGTGCACGGGGACACCCGGCCGTACCCGACGACCCGAGTGAGGTTACACGACGGGAGCCAGGGCGGGGAGCTGCGAGTTGCAGTAACACCCCGACTGCCCTACCCCGTGTTATTAGGCAGGGATTGGCCCGGGCTGCGACGGCTCCTAGGCGAACGGGGCCCTACCGCCCGCAGGGGCACACAAGAGGCATGGGCTACCCAGGAGGAGGACGAGGGGACGGCGCCCCCGCAAGGGCTAAACGGGGATAAGACGCGGGCGGCCCTAGAGGTGGGGCCCCGGGTGGAGAGCGAGGGGACCGAACAGCGAATCGAACAGGGCCCCCACTTCGAGATCCAAGGGGACCGGCTTTACCGGGTCCCGGGGACAGGAGGCGGGGAAACCCAGTTAATCGTGCCGAAAGCATACCGGTGGCGGGTGATGGAGATGGCCCACGACAACCCCTGGGCCGGGCACTTGGGCACTGAGAAGACGCAGCAACGCGTGCTCCAACGGTTTTATTGGCCAGGGGTATACCAGGACGTCAAGAATTTTTGCAGATCATGCCCCCAGTGCCAACGGACGGCGGAGGCCCAGGTCCCTCGAGCAGCCCTAGTGCCCATGCCGCTAGTATCGGAGCCCTTCGAAAGGATAGGCCTGGACCTCGTGGGACCCTTGGAGCGGACCCGGAGGGGGCACCAATATATACTGGTGGTGGTCGCCTACGCCACCCGCTACCCAGAAGCTGTCCCCCTGCGTAAGACCAACGCGGCCACGATAGCCGACGAGCTTGTGAAAATGTTCGCCCGCCTCGGACTCCCGAAAGAGATCCTGACTGACCAGGGAACGAATCTGGTATCGCGCCTAATGAAGGAGCTGTGCAAATGGCTGCAGATAAAGAAGATCCGCACCGCAGCCTACCACCCCCAGACAGACGGGTTGGTGGAGCGTTTCAACAAAACCCTGAAAGCAATGTTGCGGAGGCTGGTCCAAGACGACCCCCGAGACTGGGATAAGCTGCTGCCGCCCCTGCTCTTTGCAATACAAGAGGTACCGCAATCCTCGGTAGGGTTCTCCCCATTCGAACTATTGTATGGCCGACGGCCGCGGGGTATACTAGACTTGGTGCGGGAGGGATGGGAAGAGCAGGCATCCACCGCACTGGGGGCGGTCCAATACGTAATTAAGTTGCGGGACCGCATGCGAACTATAGGGAGGTGGGCGCAAGAAAACCTAAAAAAGGCCCAAGAAACCCAGGCCCGCCACTACAACGCAGGGACACGGCTAAGGGCCTTCAGCCCGGGCGACCCGGTGTTGGTACTGTTGCCGGCAGGGGAATCCAAATTGCTAGCCAAGTGGCAGGGGCCCTACCGGGTGACCAAGAGGATCGGGGAGGTGGACTACGAAGTCCAGGTAGGGGGTAGGCACCGCGTTAACTTGCTAAAACGATGGGTACCCTGGGAGGAGCCCTCACCGGAAGCCCTTAGTACGGAGATCGAGTTCGGGCCCTGGGGCGAGGAAGAGGTCACATGGGCGGCCAGCCCCGTGGGGATGGAACTAAATCATGTTCAACAGGCACAACTCCGGGCGGTACTACAACAGGCGGCAGCCAGCTTGACGAGCCGACCCGGGAGGACGACCATGGCGTACCACGAAATCACGATGGAACCAGAGAGACGGATAAGGGACCCGGTACGCCCCATCCCCCGGAAATTGTGGGGCACGGTCCAGAAAGAGCTGCAGGACATGTTACGGTGGGGAGTGGTAGAGAAATCGTGGAGTGCGTGGCGGAGCCCCATCGTACTGGTCCCGAAGAAGGACGGGACCATATGGTTCTGCATCGACTTCCGTAAACTGAACGCGGTATCGAAGTTTGATGCGTACCCCATGCCCAGGGTGGACGAGCTGCTGGAGCGCCTGGGGCGGGTGGAATACTTATCAACGATCGACCTTACGAAAGGGTACTGGCAAATACCCCTGGCGCCGGCGGCCAGAGAGAAGACAGCGTTCGCCACCCCGTTCGGACTATTCCAATTCGTCACCATGCCGTTCGGGTTACACGGCGCAGCAGCTACATTCCAGAGGCTGATGGACGAGATCTTAGAGGACCATCGCGACTACGCCACAGCATACATAGATGACATCGTCGTCTTCAGTAGGACGTGGGAGGAGCATTTGCAGCAGCTGGGAGCCGTCCTGCGAACGCTCCAACGGGCCGGGCTCACGGCTAACCCCAAGAAGTGCCAGTTCGGGAAGAGGGAGGTATCCTACCTCGGGTATACGGTGGGGAGGGGCCGGCTAAAACCACTACTAGACAAGGTATGCGCCATTAGGGATTACCCCCGGCCCCACACCAAACGACAAGTACGCCAGTTCCTGGGCCTTGCGGGGTACTATAGACGGTTTATAAAACATTTTGCCTCCTTGGCGGCCCCGTTAACAGACCTGACAAAGAAAGAGAAACCCCAGAGGGTGGTGTGGACGCCCCAAGGGGTGCGGGCGTTTGAGGCGCTCCGGCAAGTGCGGGCGTTTGAGACACTCCGCCAGTGCCTGGTGTCGGGTCCAGTGCTACGGCCTCCCGATTTCGAAAAGCCATTTCTTTTGCAGACTGACGCCTCCGAGGTAGGGCTCGGGGCAGTCCTCGCACAGGAGGAGGAGGGCGCGGAGTACCCCGTGGCCTACCTAAGCCGGAAGCTGTTCCCCAGGGAAAGAAACTATGCCATAATAGAGAAGGAAGCGCTGGCTATTAAATGGGCCATAGACTCTTTACGCTACTTTCTTACAGGCAATACCTTCAGGCTGGTGACGGACCACGCACCTTTGAAATGGATGCAGACCATGAAGGATAACCTCCCATAACCTACTTATCAATGTCATGCCATACAGATTCTAAAGAATGGGGAAAAAAACTGAGTTCCTTCCTTGCTATTAGGGTCCCCAAAGGGTCAACCTACTGAATTGATAAAGTATGGTGTAGTTCAGTGTTTCTTAAACTGGGCTCTGCGAGACATCTCCAGGGGCTCCGCAAGGTTGACAAACTGGAAACATCGATAGGTACAACACATACAGTCAGTGGACCACTGGGGCTCTACATAAATTTTTACGCATATAAAGGGCTCTGGAGCCCAAAAAGTTTGAGAAGTGCTGCTATAGTTAAAAAGCCCACAGTAATTGTGAGACACTTTGACAATATATTTATATTGTTTTCTTTAAATCTTTTTTTTTATTCGCATAAGGAAGAGAGAAAATTGTACATCTACTCAGCAGAATTCCTGAAGCTCTCCTTACAAAACCAGACACATACCATTCTTTTCCCTCTCTTGATCTCCTGAAGTACAGTTTTAATATCAAAATCACCAAACTCTGCCCTGGATGTTGTTGTTAGCTGGACAGTGCCAGAAGAGAACAGCTGTAAAGCAAAGCAATTAACAACAATTTTAGGAAATAAATATGTGGTGATAAGAAAATTAAAGAGCAGGAGCAACACAAGGGGAGGTACTCGCGGAAGCGAGTGGTGCATCGTGCACAACCTAACTTCTAACAGGGCGGGGGCGGCGGTCTGTGCTGCGCCCCGTGACACAGACCATTTGTTGTTTTTTTCTGACTAACTTGGCTACCCCCTGAAACTCCATTTTTTCTATTATTTTCAATGATGGATATAAAATCTCATTTAACAGGTTAACTGATAATGTACAACCGTTTAACTGATTAAAGGGAGGGAGCACTCCACCCTCCATGGCTGGGCTAGAGCACCTCCCGCAGGTTCATTGCAGACAGGGAAGGCTGGAGCAGCCATTGTCCATGGCAGGCCCTGCAGGGCTGGAGCAGCCCCCGCCACAGCAGGCAGGGAACAGCTCCACTGCTAACAGTTAACCAGAACCATTAAATCTTTCACACCCCTATTTTCAACAACGACGACAAAAGGGTTTTCAAAGGCAAATTCCAAAAGAATGTTTTGATAAAAGAAAAAAAGTTTTGTTTTACATAAAATAATGTTTTACTTTAGTTTCATTTTTCAAACCTCCCCTTCCAATCAGTTTTTCTGTTAGTTTGTTTTCTTCCCCATTCCCTTTTTTTTCCTTCTCAGCGGGGAAACAAGATAGGGGGAAGGAGAACCAAAAACTCTAAATGGGGGAACACTTGCACCCAGAAACTTTTCTACTGTTCAAAAATTGAAATTTGTATTTTAAATTTTTGAAATAGTTTCAAAACAATTAAAAAACATTTTCCACAAAAGCGGTTACCTTTTCCAACCAGTCCTATTTGTCATCACTCTCACAGACATTAACCTACAGAAAAACTAGAATGTATCTTTTATTTTTAAAGTATTTTTTCAGAATTGCACACTTTTTAGAAAGCATGAAGCTGCCCCTAGATCACATTTAGCATAACAATGTACAGGCAGTCCCCGGATTACATACAAGATAGGGACTATAGGTTTGTTCTTAAGTTGAATTTGTATGTAAGTCGGAACTGGCTCCAGATTCAGCTGCTGCCACTGAAA